TAATAATCTTTTGCTTACAATGAGAAACAGGATCTCTTCATCAACGGTATGACACATTTGCTGCAGTTCATCAGATTTATACCGACCCATATGAAGTAAGTTTCTTGCATCCATAATTGCCAACAAATACTTCAGAGTGACATCCATGCTATAACAATTTTGATTTTGGTTGCATAAGTAGCGAGTTTATTGCATTATAAACAACCCAAATAGCAACTTACCCTGATGAGTGTGTTCCGTGTGTTTCATTAGATGTGCGCGTTCAAAAAACACTTTCCACATCTCCGGCATTGGAATGGGTCCTGATCTAGCCGTTTTGAGTAGCATTAAAAAAGTGCAAAGATAATCGTGGTACTTGTAGGACTATTAGTCCATAAATGGGCCAAAGTAGCACATAAAGTGCTGAGATGGCGAAAATAGCGTTTTGAGAAAGTGTATTTTATACAGTATAATATACAAAAGCAGAAATGTAAAAGATTAACGTAAAAACAGCAAAAAAAACATGGATTATGCTGCTAAGACTGACATGTTCTTGGAAGTAACTGCGGTGGACCGGGAGGAGTCGTCGTACTCGTAGGTCGCTCTGAGATGTGAAGTTTAAGTAACTACACATTTGGGCGAGAGTAAACGAAATTAATTAAAGCTCAGCCACTACCCAACACAAATCTTCCTCAGCAAAATGCACTTTAAGCACTTAATAAGTTCCTGCCTCAATCCCATTATCTTCGTTTTACTTGATGGAATTGCAATGATGACTGTCTCTCAGTGCTAGCTGAGCTGCTATTTTCTACCCCATTGCTTAGTCCGAAACCCTACCTTATACCACAACCAAATATTGTAATGTTTAATAGTACTTAATGAGTTTAGACTTTCGGTTTTATTGTAAATATTGAAACAGTCAAGTTTAAGAGTGCATACGCAGCCCTCATTTTAAATATAAATTGCTTTGCCATTAGTTGGGTAGTTAATAAGACAATAGTCATCATTTAGTACTGTGACAATGCAAATCGTATGAACTCATTAAAAAATTTGCAAGAAGCTAG